TATATTTGAGAGAGAGAGAGAGAGAGAGAGAGTTTTTTCAGACATGGTATATTTATTATCTGCGGAGCAGCACCAATAGACACTATCTGTAGTGCGAGTACCTGCATATATATAAGCTAAAGGTAGAGTTTCTCAAATTTACACTTCAATTTATGTTTTTGTAATCTTCTGTGTTGATTTATGATGTTTATATACTTGTCAGTAGGTCATTTTAATTTGGAAATATATACATGCTTCATCTTAGACTTTTAAAATCGTAAAACATTCGAGTAACTTAAATTATAAATATAGTTTAAAGGTTTTTTTATTTATTATCAAATTTTTATATCACCCTTATATATAATTCCCGAATACGCTGAGTCTACGTGGTTGCTTCTGGTGCTTCGCAATCCTTCTTGGCGAAAAATCATGTTTCGTAATTAGGTTTGGACAAATAATATTGATATATCAATAATTAATAATCTAGGTTCGGACATTTTTAAATATTATTTAGCTAAGTTAGTTATTTTAATATCACTTATACTAATATAACCCTTTAATTATTTGTAATTTTACAGAGTGAGACACTAAGTGACTATTATATCTCTGACTTTTGATTTGTTTCCAATTAACTATTGAACTGTAAATGTATTTTAAAAGTTGATAACTTTTGTATTTCTTATCGGTTTTACATATATAATATATCAAATTAATCATCTTTTGATGATTTTCGATTTGACATCCATATTGTATATATGAAATAAATAAATTATATTTATTTTTATAATAATAAAAATAATAATATTTATTAAAATTCATTAGAAAAATAAAATTATTTCTCAATTAATAAATTTATGTTTATTGTAGTTATATGTTGTAAGTTAAAAAAATATTATAATATAACTCACGTAAGCCGCACAAATAAAAAGTGTCATACTAAATATATAATAATATATATTTTTATAAAAGTATTTAAACTTTCAACTACTTTTTCTAATTAATTTTAGATTTTAATAAAAAAATCAGCAAGCACCCGTGTAATACACGGGCGTTGTACTTGTAAATTGTATATATATATATATATATATATTATATATACATATATATATATATATAGAGAGAGAGAGAGAGAGAGAGAGAGAGAGTGAGTGAATTATATGAAAATGGTAGATAGTGAAAGAAATAAAAATGATTCTGGACTATTTGATTTATTATATTACAGAAGATGGTGAAGTCAAAATTAAATAACAATGGTCAATTCATTAATGACAAAATCGTAAATAAATGAATATCCATGACCAAATAAATACACCAAGGGTAATTTATATAATTCACCACACACAAAAAATAGGTGGGACCCACACAAATATAACACATATCAGATCTATCTCTCCCCTCTCTATATCGTCGTCTATATCTATCTCTCTCTCGCTCTCTCTTACACATACACACACACACACACACCACCGGCAGCGCGACACAGTCATGTACACATCACACACAGCCACAGTCCGCCGGCAACTCAGACTACCGCATCAAGCTCTGACCGTCATGTTCCCGTCGTCGACAGCCTGTCCAGAACTCACGGCGAGAGCTCCCGACAACAACCGCCGACCTTCAACAAACCGCCGCCTCGCCTCCGCCTTCCACCACTAGTCTGCTTCTTAGCCCGAGTCGTCCGTCCACCACATATTTGATTCACCTGGCGGAGGTGGAGCTGCGGCGACAAGTAGCCGGAAGTCCGATATTCGTGGTTGAGGTTGATGGCGGCAGCAGATCGGACCTCCGTCGCGTAAGCAGCGCGGCGGCCCGACGGTGGTGCAACGACTCTTATGTCGTTGGGCAGGCATGACGTCACCGAAAAATCGGGCGGCCGGTGGTTGACCCGTCGGCTGTGTTTGTACAGTGTGTTGTGTGTAGTGTGCGTGTGTGTATGGGTGTGTGTTGAATGAATGTGAATGTTGAACTTTAGAATGAGTTTTTTTTTTATTTTTTTTTTATGGACATTTGATATGCTTAAGGGGTTCAATTGTAATTTTATAAACTTCAATATGTTACTGTAGCGCCCCATTTGTTCTGGATTATTTTGAGATTATTATTTATTTATTTTATTTTGTTTGAGATTATTTATTTCGTGTTCGATTAGTATTTTATTCGATTACGTGATAATAATTGTCTTAGTAATTTATTTAATCGAGTTGAATTAAATATCGATCGAACTGGATAATCGAGCAACGTGTTAATCGGGGATTTAATTTCGGACGCATGTCATATCATCGGGCCTCAATCGCTCACAGTCCGTAGCCCGCGCCTGTACTCGAATTTCGCCCAGCCTGAATCCTTTGCATGCATGGCCTTTAGTTTGAATTTTTAAATTCAATTTTTGCAACTTATTGCTCCATAAAATTAGCCATTTTTAATCCTCATTAAGGGATAATTGATTCCTACTAATTAGTCATCTAATTATCTTCTCCCCACCTTAATCTCTCTCTCTCTCTCTCTCTCACGTTCTCTCTCACACGTTCGATAAACAAATTTTCCCTTCCCTCTTTATCTCGTTCTCTCTCTCGGCCTCCCTCCCTCACTATCTCTCGTCGAGCACCTAGCAGTAGCAGAGAAAAATTCGTTCTCTCTTCCTATCTCTCGCTCTCTCTCATCTCAATCTCCCATCGCTCTCGTCTCTCTCACGAAGTGGCAGAAAAGAGAAGAACTTCGCCGTCGCTTACCTTTATCGCTCATCGTCACCCTCATCATCCCGCAGCTACAACTATCGCAGGCGAGAAGAACCGATGACCTCCCTCCGTCCCTGCCCCTCGACGTGAAGAATCGGTGAGTCGTCTAACGGCTTCATACGTCTCTTAGCCTCCAGTCCACCGACGTTCTTAGTAGCGATCCTTTTAGTAATCTCCGGCGATGAGAGCACCACAGAGCACACAACAACCTCCGTTGTCGCTGCT